CCTTGCTCGGCGTGTCTTCCAGACGCGGGTCTGCCTCCTCGCTGTGCCCACGTGCCGCCCCCATGGCAGCCATCTACTCCGGGATTTACCTGAAGCTCAAAAGCGCCAAGACTTCTTGGGAGGACAAACTCAAACTAGCCCGGTTCGCGTGGATTTCTCACCAGTGCGTCCTGCCTAATAAGGAGCAAGTGAGTACTTTTCAGTAGCGAACAGTGATGAAAGAGGAAAATACCTTTGGTGGATTGCTGCAATGAATGAATCAGTTGTTAAAATGCAGATCTAACTTCTAGCTAGTGGTTAGCGCTGTAAATATAGCACTGGTTTAGGATTGTGATCACCTCATGATTTCTTTGTCATTACAGGAAATATTTTTATAACAACATGTTGCAGGTAACTTCAGCACAAAGCCCTGCATTCGTGCAGGATGGAAGAATCTTTCTTTTAGAGAGGGCAGTGCCTGTGTTCTGTTTCCCAGAGAGACGAGAAATCATTGTCTTTAGAGCTGTCATTGCTATTGGTTTTATGTCCAGTACAGGATGCTCCGAAGTCAGACGGTTTAGGGCATAGTTAAAAACAAGAACTTGAGGATGGGGGGACTGACTGAGGCTGTGTGTGTGTTCTCTGGTGCTCAGAACTTGCTGTGCATGAGCAAAGAGCACACAGTGCATTCATGGACCGCTGCTTGGAGGGTGATTTGGTTTTCTCTTCATGGAACCCACAATGAGGAACATGAAACACACCCCCTAAGTCTTTTGTCTTGACCCTGTTTGCTGAAGGTCTGTGCAGTGTTTCCCTGGGTTAGGTGTGCCTTGTCCTGTTCCTCCAGCCCTGGTAGTACTTTCAGGCCTAGGGTTTGCACATCTGAGATCTGTGTTTCAGGTTCTTGTTATTTCAAAACAAGAAGTTTTGAAGTAACAAATTACTTAAAATATTAAACTTAGCCATACACTACAACTTCAGTTTTAAAACAGTAATTAGTATATTTCAATCTTTTCCAGTTTGCACACATCTAAATTCCTAGGCCTGAATTTCTAGGTAGTGAATTTAAACATATGAAGAGAAGGATGTGAGTGGAATAGCACCTGTCAGAAAGTGAAAGCCAGCTGATTTTCTGAGCACTGATTTGAAAGACTGCATTTGCAACCAGTATCAACTGTTAGAATTAGAATGTTGTGAGAGTAAAGATGTTGACTCCTGAAAGCTGTTTTGGGATGGTACATGCAAGCACAGGTTCGACATTTGGTATAGAGCCTAAGCTCTTAGGAATTGAAACCTTTGGGAGCAGACTTCTCTGCTCACTCAGAGGCTGTTCTGCTTGGATGTAGCACAGTTTTGAAGGTACAAATGCTGTAACTGTGAGGAGGTACTGCTTTTGTCCTGTTTTTGCTTGGGAGTTGTTAAAGATTTCTTGTTTTTTCTTCTGTTAACAGGTTTTACTCGATTGGGTAAGCCAAGCATTGGTTTCCAACTACAACAAGAAACATGAACTGGAGGATGAAGTTGTTGAAAAACTCTGGGCATATCTTGACAATGTTATCCATAGTAAAAGACTACAGGATCTCTTAAAGAGTGGGAAGACAGTTGGTCTCAGTTTTTCAATTGCAGAGGTAACTATGACTGTGGATACCTGGAAAAATTCTGGATAGCAATATGTATCTCTTACAGTACTTGACTCTCCCTCACAGTGTCAGATGTTGCATGAAATATGTCTTAATCTGATAGTTTGCAGGACCAGTACTGAAAGTTTCTCTATTTCTGTCCTGCAATACATTTTGTGTTTGTGCAGCGCTAAGGTTAAAAATGGTGGAATTAGTGAGTGGCTGCAAAGGTGGTGAAAATGACTGGAGAAATGATCCTTTTAGTTTTGATCAGATTGAAGGGAAGCAAGAAAAGGTTGTCTTTACATGTAGAAATTGAACTGTGAAGTATGGAGAATTGGATGAAATCTGGGCTTCAGAGATGTTATGCAGAAAGTGTGCCAAATTTAAAGGTGGTCTGTGTGTGAAAACCTGTCTGGATTAAGATCAGGTCAGAGGTACAGGACAGGGTACCCTGAACACCAAGGACAGAGGTATAGAGGGTCCAGTGGGAAGAATTTAAGGGTCTGTTTTAGTCCATCACTGTTGCAGCTGAGGAGATGAACCATCCACAATAAGGTGTAAGGAGACAGGTAAGGTTTTTAACAAAATAGACATAGATTTTAAAATTGTTACTGAGTTTGTTTGCAGACATTATTTGAAGGTGAGAAAAGGGAGCGAAATACACATAAAGTTTGAGAAAAGGAAGAGAAATACAACATAATTTCTCTAGAAATGTGTACCCCTCAAAGAGAAAAGAGAATAGTGCTTCACATTCCAGATACCAGGACCAGAAATTGTCTCATTTTCAAATATAAAGATGATATTTAGGCACAGACATTCTTACTAAATAACCTCCCTGTGTCGGAGCAGGGATGTGTATCGTGTATAGGTTTGTTGTTGATGGGAGTGTAATTTTGGGGACCGTTCAAGAAGGAAGAAATTTTCCCCTACTCCATTTCTGCAGGATGAACTATTAGGGTCAGGTATGGATAGTCTTATGCTGTTGCCAGTAGTGTGCATGAGGGCTTCCTTACTGATCTGGTGCTGCAAACAAATGCAGGGACAGTGGAGCTTCTAGTTTGAAACCTGTGATGTGAGAGGCTCAGCAGCAGCTGTTGGCACAGCCCCTTCCTTGCAGCCACAGGTCACAGGTGGTGTTGGTTCATTATGATGGGCTTTATCTTTGTATGCTAAATTGACTGGTGTTGGGGGTTTGTTTTTGTTTCTTTTTTCAGATCATAAACAAAAGGTTATCAGAGGCCTATTCTGAGAAGACACAGCAAAACATTGGCACTGTGCTGAGCTGCTCCAGTGGCATCCTTTCTACTCCTTCACTCTCCATAATTTACACAGCAAAGTGTGAGCTTTTGGTTGATCTCCTCAGCAAGCTGTCCAAGCTGGCATGTCAGCAGCTGGCTTCTGATGATGCTGTGGGCTCACAGTTGTTTAACGTCCTCCATCTTACTTTTGCTCAGTACCTGCTGATCCAGAGGCAGCAAGCCAACCCAAACCGTGTGTTTGGGCGAGTGACAAGTCACTTGCTCCAGCCATGCTTGCTCTTGAGGCATTTGCTCACTGTGAGGAGCTGGACACAAGTGGATGATAACCATGTGTGTCAGCACCTGAGCAGAGAAATACGCGGCCAAATAGAGACTTTGCTGCAGGCTGGGTTATTTCAGCCTGAGCTTTTCTCATCCTACAGAGAAGAGCTGCTGTCAGAACAGGAATCCCAGGAGAAGAAGAAAGGAGCTTGGAAAACTCTTTTGCTACCAGTCCACACAGTGCAGACCAAGCTGGGCAGTGACTTGTGTGAACCTGCCCTCCATGGAGCGGTTGTGGCTGGTTCGGTGTCCCTGCTGTATAAGCTCTTTCTGGACTCGTACTGTAAGGCAGAAAACTACCTTGTGTGTTTCCACATGCTCAGCAGGCTTTTTGGCTGTCTCAGGCTCTCTGACCTGCAAGAGGAGGGGAAGAGTGATTTGCTTTTCCCTGTGGACTGGAGCGTGGAACTGCTTGCTTTGGAGCAGCTTCTGAGCTTGGTGCTCAGCAATGACATCTATAATGTCGCCAGTGACCGTATCCGGCACAAGGAGGTGCAGTTTGGGTTTTACAGGAAGCTAGCACAGATGCTGCTGACACACTCCCAAGCTTCCATCCCTGCTTGGTTCAGGTGTCTCAAACTCCTGATGTCATTAAACCACCTTATAGTAGAGCCAGACCTGGATGACTTGGTGTCGTCAGCTTGGATTGATGCAGAGGCCTCTGAGCCACGTACAAAGAAGCCTCAGGAGGTTCTCATCAGCACCATATTCCAGATCTACTCCAAGCTGAGGCAGTTCCCACGGCTCTTTGAAGAGGTGCTGACAGTCATTTGCCGGCCAGCTGTTGATGAACTGAGGCCGCCTGTCTTCTCTGCTGGCCTGACAGCAAAGCTTCGTGAGTGCCTTCTTGAACTGCCACCCAACCAGATTCTGGACATTCTGTGTCTCTTCGTGGAGAAATGCCAGACCCTTATCATTCCAGCTGTTGAAGGGTCAGTTGAAATGGCCTTGAAGCTGATGTCAGTGTGCTCGGTGCTGCATGCCTTTCTGTTCAACATGAGGAGCCTGGATGATGTCACTCCTTCCCCTGTGGTGCTTCGCACTCAGCGTTTGATGGCAAACACACAGAAGGGAATAATTCAGCCACTGATGGAGCTGCTGCAGGCTCCTAGGAGAGAGGGAGAAAAGTCAGAGCTTTGGCTAAGAAAGGCCAGTGATGCTGCTCTCCTCCTTGTTTACACTTGGGTTGAGGTAGATGCTCTGTTTGGTGTTAGCTGCAGTAAATATGTGTCTCCATCAGCTGAAACTGCTGCTACTGAACCTGCTGCAAAGCACTGGGGCATTTCAGCTTTTCTGCCTGGTGTGAAGGACCAGAGTTGGAGGAGAGTTATGGAACTTGCAAGTAGTTTTGCCTCCACTAGTAAATACTGCTTAGAACTGCTCACGTTTCAGAAAATGAAGATGATGTTAATGCAGACTGAAGCTGACCTACAGGCCTTGCAACATGCTGCAGCTTTCATCCTGGAGTCTGGGAGATCTACCATGAGCAGAGGAGAATCTGAACCGTGGGATGGAGATATCAGTGCAATAACTGAGCTTAGCTACCCCACAGCACACTGGCACCTCGTCATGTCCAACCTGACCATCCTGTTGCCATATATTTCCTTAAAAGATGTTGAGTACATTGCAAAGGTGTTTCTAGAAACGTTGATGTTGGCTGAAGCTCAGGAAGCTGCCACGGACCAGGAGTCTTCCATCAGCATTGCAAAGATATCCCTTGGTTTCATCCACAGCTCTCTTCTACCAGAAATGAGGGTCCTGCACTGTGCTTTTCTGACCCATCTTATTCATCAGTTTGCTATGGTGCTGCCCACTGCTACCAGGGATTCAGTAGATCTGCCACTGCAGCAGCTCTCTGTGACTAATATTCCTTGGCATGAAGAAATTATGGCTTCTTGCAAAACTGTTGACCCATTGGAAGTACCATCAGAAAACAAAGTGCAGAAGGATGAGCTGAGCTTGTCTTGGAAAACACTGGAGAAAGTTGCCCAATGTATAGTTTTGTTAGCAAAAAATGGCTGCCCTGTCATCCTGAAAGAACGTCAGCTACAAAGATGCCTGGATTTACTAGAAATTGTTTCTCTCCTGAAATTAGACAGTTTTCTTCCCTCTGACTGTACTCGATGTTTTCTGGTGCTGCTGTCCCTGCTAGTTAATACCAGGGCTAGTGTCTCTTGCAGCAAATTGTTATTGCTGAAGGTTTTAAGTACTTGCCTCCACCTCCTGAGGTGCCTGCAAGCTGGCAGGAACTCCAACTCTGTTCTTAAGGTGTTACATGCCAGTGATGTTCTTGAGGCTGTCATGACCTCCCAGCTTACAGCTTGCAAATTCTTCACTGATGTCCTGACTGGCCCTGATTGGGCACAATATGTCCAGGAAGTCCAAGAGTTTTTGGAAAACTTTCTTCAGATGATTATTGAAAGAAGACAAAGTGTGAAGCTCAACTTGGAAAAGTTCATGTCTTTCCTGGTGAGCTGCAGACCAGACACAGGTGCAACCAAAAGCATAGATTGGAAAAACTGGAATCCTGCAGCTGAGCAATTGCTGCTCACAGCATTCACCACACTCTGTCATGTTGTCACACTGCACCTCCAGCAGCTGCCAGAAAAGAAGCTGCATTCTGTGGATGTGTTTTGTGCTCTGTTGGAACCAGTGGTTCTGCAGATGGTCAGAACTGTTGAACATGGGCTTCAGAGTAGCACCCCAAACCAGCCTTTGCCTGTGGCATTCATACCATCTGTCACTACTCTCCTCAAAGCAGATCTGAGCCATCCTGTCAAGAAGGACTGGCAGAAGGAGCCCAGTGGGTTTTTGAAGCGGCCCCGTGTTAAGCTGTACCAAGAGTTTTACTCTCAGATACTGAAAGAGCTGCCCTGTGCAGGGAGCAATCTGCAGTTCCTTCAGCTTTCATTGCAGTTCCTGACTGTCTTCTGCTCTGTGCCAGAGTTGTGTCCTGAAAAAGAAACTGCACTCATGGTTGTTTTTGCTATAAAAAAACTTCTCGCTGGTATGAAAACTCTATTTCTCCACCTCCTTTGCTAATTTTGTGAGTTAAAAGCCATTTATCAAAGCTTACAGCTTCTGTAAAAGTCTGCATTTGTTTACTTGTGTTAAAACAGCAGGCTATCCTTTTTTAAATGCTTAACAGGAGAATTTTCAAGGAGGCAATATTGTAGTACCTGGACCACAGCCACCATCTAGTGTGGCAATGAACTTCTGATAGATGTTAACATCTTTAAATAAAGTTGAGGTCCTGAGTTACTCATCCTTGGTAGAACATTTTGAAAGTACCTGGAACATGGTAATACTTCTGGAGGTAGGGCTGAAGTGCAGTGTCCTGCTTGTGTAATTGTTGTAGTAGGCACCACTGAAGCAGCTGATCTGCACCAGGCCAGATCTTAGAGTAAAATACTCATCTGCTTTTGTATCTGGTAGGTGAATTTATAGAGCAGTGGAAGTTACCTAACAGTTACGGATGATGAACACCATGTGGTAATTCTGATAAATTCTGTGGGATATTGGCAGGTTGGTTCCTTTATCCTCACCAAATAAAGAGCCAAGGCTGGAAATTACATGAAGACCCTCTGCTGCCAGCTGTGTGACCTAATGGCTCCTTTACATTGTCTCATTCAGAAAGAGAGATGAGCACAGAGCCGGAATAACTGTTCTCTTTGACTTCCTCAAACTGCTGGAATTTGTTAGACTTATTGCTGGCATGCTCTGGTGCAGTGATCTCCAAACATTTTTGATTGCACACACCCATCATTAAAAAAACCTAAGAAATTGAACACACAGCCTGAATATAAGTTACTTATAAATGATGCATGTACTGCACCAGTATGTATACTATAAAGCGCACATACAGAAAATGTTTAAAAAGCATGAGATAAAGATGAAATAAAATCTATTTAAAATATCTTTTTGTATTAGAGATATTTTACTTATAATTCCCACACCCCAATAAATTGTCGTGTGCACACCCTGCTTTAGAGACTACTGTTCAAGTGAAGTACAGTTGTGATCTCAGTGTTTGTATTAGTCATAGAAAAAGCTTTATACTTTTATGATTTGTGATGGATCTGTGGCCACCATTTATAGAAAAGACCTGTGGCTTGTTTAGCCTGCTCCCTTGGCTTGTGCAGCTGCTTTGGTGTAGTCTTTCTGTATTACTGAAGAGTTTCTGTTGGTATGATGACTGCTCTGAACCTGAGGGTAGGATATACTTGAGATCATCAACTTATTGCACTTGTGGGGAGAAAGGTAAAGTATCAAGCCTTCTATGTATTTGAGTGTTAAAAAGGTACCCCCAGAACGGTTTTATTTTCAGTTTGCCCTATTCTTACCTGTGGAAGTCCTTCTCTTGGGAATTGATTGCTTTTGTCTCTTGAATATGCAGGTCCTGCAATTACAACCCAGGTGATCCGAAGTATGGAGATGGAGCTGACAGAGGTGCTGGTCCAGGTGCTGGGAAACTGCTCTGACGAGGAGTTCTACGCTATAATGAGGCTGGTGCTGCAGGGACTGGAAGTGAGGAATATTTGGCAGCAGAAGGCTAAAGTAAGGCATGAGCTTAATGTGTTGTCAACTTCCTTCTGCAGTCTGCTGTATCTTGAAAAAAAGGTTGTTGGCTGAATGAGATTTGTAAATATTTTTTTTTGTTCTTCCTGCTTTATGTTCAGTAATCAGGTCAAATTAATTTACATGGATAAGGGCTTTCTGGCTGTGCTATGTTCTTACATAAATTGAGAGATGGAAAGATCATGGAAACCTACTGAAAAAACTTTTTGTCCATCGTAAGGACTCAGCAGTCTCGAGTCCATGTATTGTCAATAGAAATCACACAGCTGTGGTCTTACAGGCCATGCTGAAAGCTCTTTCCTACTTGCTGCTCAGAGCTCTTGCACAGCAGATGCCAGCAGTCAGTGTTTGTCTGTGGCTCTTTTGTACAAGGTTAAAGGCACTTTTAGAAGTGCTGGCATTTTTGAGTAAAACCAAAACTGCACCTGTGCTTTTGGTACTTGTTGCTCTAAAGACTACTCAGCAATACCCAGGTAGCACTCAGTATCTTTTTAAATTATGTGCCCTTCTTCAGAGCAGCTTAAGCACCATTGCTGATGTGTGGAACACTTGGCAAAAAAAAGTCTGCTGTATGCTCCATAGAAAACCCAGTGATTGGAGAATAACAATTGAATCAAACTTGTGGGTTTATCTGGCCCTGTCTTGTTTGTCAGAAGAGAGGCAGATATGCTGCATCAATTCTTGATACATCTTTTTGAAAGTGTATCTGGAATTCCTGAACTGCACAGAGAATTCCTGCCACCTGAATGTAGCTTGCAATATGCTTCTTGTATCAGTCTGTATAAACAACTAGCAATTAAAAAAACCCTGCTGCCAAAAGCAGCATTCTTAATTTGTAGTGTACTGGTATCCTTGTATTGCCTCTGCTTCCCTCTGTTACCTAGTGGCAGTTGTATGAGGGGGCTTTCCTTTTTTCAAAGTCATGTAGGCTTTTTTGTACAGTAAGTTGATTGTGAAGCAAATGTGGCATAAAGTACATTTGGGTCAGCGCTGCTGAGTGCATTCAATTCTGTTGAGCTGCTGCTTTCTTCACAATTTCCAAAGAGAGGTGTTGGTGGGAGGCCTTTCATGTGTCAGGGCTCTGGTAATGCTCAGAAGTGCCACTGACCTTGAAAGAGCTTTTCTGTACTTGAAAGGAGCCAGTGTGCCTTGTACCCCTGACTGATGATCCGTCTGCTTTCTGCAGGAAGTATTGTCAGCTGTTACTCTCACCAAATTGTTGCTCAGCTGCCCATTAAGTGGAGACAAAGGGAAAGCTTTCTGGTTTGCCAGCCCACAGATAATCACAGCTTTAGCTGTAAGTATCTCTTTATTAGAACTTCATTACCTACCCCTCCTGTCTCTTAGACTCTCTAGTGGATGCAGCAAACGTGCCCAGAGGCACACAGGAACAAAAACTAAACACATCCATGCCAGATTCATCTGAACGTTTTTGTGTAGGCCCTTTTTCTCCTCCTTCTTCAAGAAAATCTCCTGTGAGTGCAGTGTGGGGGTCATCCATTTCTTATGCACAGTAATTTTATGGAACTACACTGTAATATGATGCATGGGAGAAACTTGTCAGACTGCAGAGTAGAGAGTCTGTCTCCTATCCTTCCTGCTGTCCAAAGGAAAAGATAACCATCAGCCATGTGTTGCAGCAGAAGCCAACAGCAGCAAAACAAAACAAACGCTTGTAGAAAAAAGTAATTCTATAAGTTCACTGAATTATGAAAAGGAAGCTTAAATGAAACTAATCAAGCCAAATCAAACCTGCCCTTCGTTTGTACAGCATATAAAGCTAGTGATGTAGGTTTTTCTTCTCTTGGGATGGTATCTCTAGGCAAGAGTTTATCAGCAGCTGGTTCTGCAGTGCGTGGGAATCATAAGCTTGCGGTTTCTGCCCCTTCTGATAGGTCTGCATGCATGTAAAGGAGTGAACTGCATCATTGGATTCATGTGAAGAGATGCAAAGAGGTGCTGCCTTTCAGGAGGCTGGGGAATAGTTGTCATTCCAGTTATGCTCACAGCAGTGTTTGTTTGAAATGCATCATGTGCATCCTCACACAAGTGCATGAAAATGGCTCAGGTGCAGGAGTCTCCCTGCCAGTCCAGCTAGCGCGGGTCTAGTTCCATTGACTCCAGTCAGGGTTAGGGTTCTCTGGTGTTCCAACTAATGATAAGTGGCTAATGCATTTCTCATTGTCTGTTTCCTGTCTTGTAGCTGCAAACCAAAGAGGCCTGTCAGGACCAGGCACTGATTTCCATCGTAGTTATACCTGTTCTAGAGACTGTAGCAGCTCTGCTAAGGCGGGGAGAAGGGATTCTTGTGAATCCACATCACGTTTCATTGGCATTCAGCATTCTTCTAACAGTTCCTCTGGATCATCTGAAGACAGAAGAGTATCATGGTGTCTTCCTGGGGATCCATGAAGTGCTCTTCTCTATTGTGCAGTGTCATCCAAAGGTATGTCTGTGATAGGGTGGAAGAAGAGGAAAAATTTGAAAGAGAAAACGTATTTGTGATAGACTTCTTTTAATATTATTTTGAAATATTTTGTCTTGACAGTAGGAAAGTACATAGTACTGCTTGTCATTTAAAAGGCTGGGGATCTCAAAATCACATAATTTCAATTGCTCTCCTGCTTTGCTTGTGCCTGCACTGTTGTTCTTTGGCAGTGGATTGCTTATGAGCAACTGATGCTATGTTAGGAGAAAACATTTTCTTTTTCTATTATTGATTCTAGAAGCACAAATGGCTCAGGATGCAGAATGAGAAGACAGTTTGTACCCTCTCCACTCCCTCTACTATGTATTCTCACATGTTTTTGTTTCATGTGTTTTTCAGGTGCTGTTGAAAGCAGCACCATCCTTTCTGAGCAGTTTCCATCGTCTGGTTGTTTCTGTCATGCATGAGGGGCGTCAGAAAGGAGACAGAGGTACCATGTCTTCTCCACCTTTGCTTTATATATACATACACTTTAGAAGGGGAGATGCTGAGCAGGACAAAGTCCTCAAAACCTAGCTGTGGCATTGAAACTGTCATCCCTACCTGTCCTTTATGAAAAACTGGGGTTTTATGAAAAACTGATCTTTGTGGTTGTGGGTTTAGGAAGATAACTGGGGCTCCTGGAGTGCTGCATGCAGACAGCATTGCTTTTGGTGAATAAGTTATTCTTCACTGACTGGCTGGCAAGTAGACAGGAAGCAGTAAGGCTTACTGTGCTCAATTTCTGCTCTTCCTATCAACCCCTGTGTCTGCAAGCATGGTGGCTGTGAGCTCCAGTGATTCATGCTAATATGTGTGAGTGATAATCCCAAATGGATGCTACTATATGAAATTTTTTGAGATTGGAACTATTGTTTACTACAGAGCTGAGCTGTCACCATTCTATGCTAAATGTAAGAACTCTTATGTGTATCTGAAGCATTAATTTGGATTAGATTATATATCTGTATGGCCAAGGATTTGAAATAAGGGTAATTAAATATCCTAAAAGGAAGGGGGAAAAACAGACTTATTACTGGAAGTTATTAAAGAGTTTACATAGTCAAAGTAGACAAGTCAGAAATGTCCACAATGATTAAGATGGTCAGGACACAGATACTCTGTCATTAATAGTGGAGTTTTGAGACAAGTTGACTTCATGGCCTGAAACTGATTGTATCCCAGCTTTCTGCTGATGTCCTACAGCCGGTGCCATATTCAGATTTACCTCAGCTAACGTTTTGCCCACAACTGTGGGCAAATATAAATGTATGTATTCATTGTAGAGGAATGTATTAGCTGAGGCTTAGTGATAGAGGAAAAGGTATGTTAAACTGCTGCCAGATTTGGAGAATTTTCTTGCTTTTGCAATGTATTTGCATAAGGCAATCATCACATGAAGCTTACAGGTACATGGCATCCTCATGCTGAAAATGATGCTGTTTATCTTTGCATGATTGTTCTGGTTTTGTAACAGATAACATGGAAGTAATTTCTGGATTTCCCTTCTCCCTTGTTTGTACTAGCTCTCTTCATTCTTTGCCTACTGAATTAATTCTCAGCTGATCTCACCAGTCTCACTTTAGATACCTCCAATGATGCAGCTTTTGCTGCTATATTCCACATAATAGAACTCATCAAAGAGCTTTCTTACTATGCTGTTTCTAAGAAACATCTTCTGATTTTCTCTAGGCAGGGAATACAATTTTCTTGTCTCCTCATTCTCTCCTCCACATTGCTGGTTGGGACTGAATTGTGGAAGGGACTGCAACTGCTGTTGTGAGCACTTCAACATCTATAAGAAGTAATTTTTGTCTTGCAGTGCACATGAAATTGGAATCAGTATGCTCTTACAAAGTAGCCACTCTAGGAGATGTATTTTGTGTGTTGTGGGGGGCCTCTAGCTGTGGTTTGATAAGAAAAGATGATAAAATAGGCAAGCTGTCCTTGGCCTCATGTTGTTCAAGGATCATGGAAAACGGAATGATTCTTTGGGGTTTTTTTCCTAATGTTTTTAAGCCTCAAATGCCAAGCTGCATCTCAATTTGTGTTTTAGGCAACATGGATGAGTTTGAAATGATACTGAAATGTGCACACTTGGTGGAACGGATGTATACTTACATTGCTGCAGAAATGGAGGACTTCACTGTGTTTTCTGCCTTCATTGTGGCTCACTATGTGACTGAATTGCAGAAGGTATGTTCTCATCCATCTTGAAAGTGCCATGGTGTTGTGCTAGCTCTGGAGTTTCTGTTCCAAAGGCAACTCTGTTAAATTGTGTAAAATTTGTGAAGTTACAGTTGTTATACCTCACAGAGATGCAGGCTTGATCCAGGCTTTTGTATTATGCAAGAGTTCTTGAGAATCTTTCTTACCAAACTCCTGGAAAGTTTTCTGAAGGTATGGGCTGTGTTTTTTTTCTTTTAAGGTAAAACCATACAGTGCCCAGGTACAAAGCTGTTTTGCTTTAGTGCCATGTTGGGTGTAGCGTTTCTTCATAGAATCATAGAATGGTTTGGGTTAAAATGTTGAAAGATAACCTTGAAAGGTTGTCTAGTCCAGCTTCACTACAATGAGCAGGGACATCTTGAAATGGATCATAGCCACGTCCAACCTGGCCTTGAATGTTTCCAGGGGTGAGACACCCACCACCTCTCTGGGCAACATGTTTTGGCACTATCAGTGTTAAAAATGTCTTCCTTATACATCTGGTAGTAAAGTTTATCTCCCAAATAGTCTCAGTTGTCCAGGACTGATAGCAGTTAAATTTGGCAAAGTAATGGTGGAAGATTTTCCTGGAAAGAATCTTTTAATATGGGGTAAATGATTAAATTAATTTAAAAAATGTTGCCAAGGCAAGAATTGCTGGCTTTTCAGTAATTCTCCTTCTGTACCAAAGATAGCATTCTGATCCTTACTGAAAGCAACTACTTCTACTCTTATGGATGCCAGAGCCAGATCAGTATTTTCTCTCACCCAGAGGTAACTTTATCTTGTCAGTTTCTTCAGCCTAATAGATGTAGATTTCACCAGGGTTTGAATGCTGCTTGTGGTGCAAGTACCTGCAAACTGATTATTTGTGATTCTGGCCCGGGGAATGAGCTGAAATACAGAAAGGAAATGTAGTCTTTGTTTTTAGGCCCTCTTACAAAAAGAAAATTCTAACTGGTGCTGTGTTTCTGAAGGATTGTGGTGTAACCAGTGTAACTAACCGTGAAGATTATTGCAGAGGTTAGTTGGTCATTGTTTACATGGTGAATGTAGTAGTTCAGCAAAGGGAAAATTGCTGTTAAGACAGCTTCTGTTCCCTTTAGCCATCTGTGAATCTATAATCTGGTCATCACTGAATAAAAGCCTGACTTGAATTGTCAAACGACCTTTTTAAGTTGAAAGGACACTTGTCTCAGTATTAGCAGGAGTATGCAGTCTCATGAGACAGCTAGGAAAGTTTTGTGCAAGATGTTCACTGGGAAATGGAAAGTGATGGATAATAGCTGAAACCACAGATCAGTAATGTATGCATGGAACCTTTGGGTGTGGAAGGGGAAATTGGTGTAGTGAGCCTCTAGACACTGTGGCAAAGGAGTGTTTTCTGTCTGACAGAATAGATAGATCACATGCAGGTGATGATTTATTTGCTCGTTAGACTGCTGAGAATTGATGGATATCAGAGGAAAGAGGGCCCTCAGATGCCTGTCTTAAATGGGGCATGTACACATCTTTCCTGTTGCTCTGCAGAGGGAGAGAAAAGCTCTTTTAACCATTCATCTCTTCCGAGTCAGGATCAGTGGCTTTCTCCCTGTGATATGAAGACCCTGTGGGTCCAGCAAAGATAACTGAGAAAAACATGTTAGTAGATGTAAATCTTCCTGTAGGCATCTTACTGGAACCCTTTTAAGGGTCTGTGAACTAGAGCTGATGAAAGCTACTGGCCTAAGCAGTCACTTACCCTTAAAGTGGTTGTGTAACAGCTCCCTCAGTCCTCCCTCTTGATACCATGAATTATTTTGTATTAATCTAGAAAGATTCCTTACTGGAGTGGGTGGCATCTCTTTCATACTGTTGGCAGTGCTCTCTGCTTGTTGCCTATGATCTGTAGCTTAATTCAGCAATAGTGGAATACCTCTTCACACATTTAATGTCTCACATCAAGAACTCTGTAATGCTTGACAAATTGGTTGTGCTAACTGTATAGACCATAAACCACTTACAAGTATAATTAACTGCCTGCCAGTAGTGGCAGCTGTTTAAATCTTTGGCTCTGCTTCCCATGGTGTTATTGGTGTTTATAGGGAACTGCAAAGCAAGAATGGCCCAAGTAAGGCTTGGGTCCAGATGAATTTGTGATGTGAGGGATGCAGTTCCATTAACTGCAGCTCTGAGATAGCTCCTTATCCCAAGTGGGCCATCTGGTCCATATTGTCAATAGCTGTGGGTTTTCCTGTCCTTGTTCTCTGCAGTCATTCCTCTGCCCTAGGAAAGGAGAACCCAGTCTAGTGCATCCACTGGGAGCTGTGATGCTCAGCTCTTCTCCAACTGTATTGTGCAGTGTAGGGAGAAACAGCATCTGTTGTAAACAAACCAATTGATCAACTGACAGGGAAGGGAAAAATTACAACCTCTTGCACATGCAAACTCTTTAGGGTCACAGATCTAAAAGAAGTTTTATGTGCCTTAATGCCTGATATGTTTTTCCCTGCTATGTTAGTGGATCTAACAAAAGATATTAGCTGTTCCACATTTAGGGCAGAAAGAGAGTGGGAGCCTGTCACAGTGATGAGGAGTGCACTTCATTAGCAGAAAGTTTATTAGTTGCCTAAGGAAGAAAGAGGCCTGAATTTTAATGACGGCTTTTTATGTGATTTTCATTATGCCTGGAGTGCAGAGGCTTACATCTGGAGGCATAAAGCTAATTTTGGGATTCAGCAAAGATAAGACATGGTGCTGCAGCAAAAATAACGCAATGATGCCAGAGGCCACTACTGTCTTGGGCAGTGAAGTATTTAGCAAGTGATTTGTGGGCACAGGACAAATTTCAGTTAGCCTAGAGCAGCAGAGGGCTCCAGAGTCAGTGCTAATCTTTCTGGTTGTTAGTGGCAGTTCTACTGGTTGTGAGGTTGAGCAGAGGTGATGTCAGGAGCAGGGTGCTGAGTCCTGACTCATTTCTTGTATTCCTCCAACTTTCTGCATGACTTCAGGCAAGGTACCTGATTCTTGGTGTTAAAACAGATTAAGGAAATGTACATTTCTGAGATTTTTGAAGGCTTCTTCTATTAAGGTGTGCACATTGAAGTACTCAGAAAAAAATTGTTAGATAAATACGAAATTGTTAAGTGATAAGTTAAAATTGTTTCTACACAATGTAAATGAAGTGCTCATTTGAAACTGACATAATAGCATACAGCTATACAAGACATACAGAATCTACTGAAATGTGTAATCCAAGGCAAGTATTTTAGGGTTTTTTAATTAGAGTTGTTGTGCTGAGGAGTGTCCATGTGATTCCAGGATGATTAATGTCTTTGCCACCTCAGCAATGTGTATAGTACTTCTGTGAATTTTGCTGCAAGAGTGCTTGTTTTGCACAACATGTTTGCAAAATTCAGGAAAATACTGCACAAGTCAAAGTCTTGGATTTTATGTAATGGGCTGTTCCAGATGGTGTCATGCAAAGGATAATGTTGTCAGCATTTAATGTATACTGACTGTGGAACTGGTGTTGTCTTGCCTTTCTGTCTTCAAGTTTAAGGCAATTTTATTCTTCTTGCAGGTGACTTTGCATCCAGCTGTGAAGACACATCTCACAGAGGGAATATATCACATCCTTGACCTTTGCATTGAACGGGACATCAAGTTCTTAAATGCATCTCTCCCAGCAGGTGTGAGGCAGGTCTTCAAGGATCTGTATAATGATTACAACCACTACCACAAAGCAAAGAAGCAGGGGGAGGAAAAGTACACTGCGTGATGAGTCCTGCCTGGCGCTGCATGATCAGTTATGAATTGATCCTGCAGTGCTCAGAAGATGCTGGATTGCTGTTTGGCTTGGCATAAAGACTAAGATTGAACTTGAGGAGAGTCCTAAACATGGGTTGCAATTATCCCTATACAGCCAGCCTTCATAATGGGGAAGAAGGGAACTGGGGAGGGAGGGAGGATGTGCTGTGGTGTTGGTTCTGGTCCTGCGTTGTGCCACAAATGGCAGAACTGCTGTGCCTCTGCTGGCCCCTGGTGAACTCTGTGGGAGCCTTGGGGAGCTCACTGCAATTTGGCAGCAGATGTCAGGCTTCAGGCTTTGGCACGTCATGGTGCTTTCCTGTGGAAGCAATAGTCTGGTCTAAAAGCCAGTGAGGGATAAAACCCCTGTTTTTGCTTACATGGTAAGCACAATTAAAGCAGTTAAAGTGCTTAATTTTGTACCCTGTTATTTTACATTTTGTAACTGAAGAACTTTTTCAATGTTACACAGCCGTAGAGTAGGTTACTGTGCAAACCTGCAGAAGTAAAAGTAAAAAATTTGGAAGATTGTATCTCTTTGCTTGATTGCTTTTGTTGTCCAGCCATCCCTGGGCAGCCTGGTCTGACCTATTGAATTTCCTTCCCAACTGTATTATCCTCTGATCTCGTGATAATCAAAAAGACTGACTACCTGGAGCTCTGTTCGATTTACTGTCATTAAGCAGTTACACTTAGTCATCTGAGCTGTGGTCACTCTGCTTAGCTTGTGACAAATGTTAATTACCACTGTTACTATCTGACACTCTTCTTGGTCTAAGCTGAGCCTTGTTGCTTTCTATTCACTCCAGGTTGAGAGTAAGCCCTCGACTTCTTGCATGTCAGCTCAGCTTCTGACAGAAATCTTTATCAAGTTTTATCACATAACTCTCTTTCATTGGCTAAATGACAGAAGTTAATTTTTTTTTAATGATACATACTGAGATCTAATTTTTATGTGCATGGTAAAACAGTCTTCACATGTACATGTAGGTAGTAGAACGAACTCAATACTCATACGATTATTTACTTTCATCTATAAATAGGATGTGGACAGAGGGAAACTGGAATGTGGCTTAGCACCTTTCTGGGTCCATCTGCCTTATAGCAAGGTCCAAAGGATGAAGTTTGTCTGAGCCAAAAGACTCCATGTGGCTCAGATGAGGGAGGTGACCAGGGCTTGCTAAACTTCATCCTTTGGATTGGGGATGACCCTCCTCTCATCCTGGAAAAGCATCTTGAAGGGCTTTGGTACTGTGGAAGCGATGTTCAGAAGTAATTGTACTATGTTATTAACACTTTTCCAGTCCCCAATGCAAACCACAGTGGCATATAAGCTGCCATGCAGCAAGTTAACTCTGTGCAAGCTGGATCCTGTGCACCACTGGGCCACTTCTGTATTTTATTTCGTGTGGGCCAGCAATGGGAAGGGGAATTACTTCTGCCCCATCACGAAGTGGGGCATAGGTGACAGAAGGGAGACATCTAGGAGCTGGGGGCATCCAAAGAGGGGGGGTCTCCAGGGTGGAGACCTTAATACACTGGAAATCGAAGGAAGGTTTTGAGCACTGGGAGAGGATGTGGAAAGAACAGCAGAAAAGAAGAGAGCAGGGTTTGGAGTGGGGGAGGGAGGAAGGAAGTGAGGTAGCATCTCTAGCGTGTGAGTGTCAGGGCTCCCCCGGTGCAGCCATATGGTGCAAGCCACACACACAGCTCAAACGCTTCTGAGTGCAGACCACAGCAAATAACGCTAGCCAGAGGGGATAAACTAGTTGAGTTGAGATCAGTTTTGTTTCATTAATACTAACTTTTAAATTGTTAACAATTTTAACCTCTTGGTGTGGAAGTGAAAATATGTAACTTAGATGTACAGGGGTGATGGAATTTACAAACCCCCACTATCAAAAGGGCACAGTGCTTGAATGAATGAAAATTTGAAATCCTGCCACAATTAAACCTTTATTTCACACACCCCGTGCAACTGCCACTTATCCCACAGCCCCCCTCCTTCTCCATGCGAAGCAGTGGAGTTCTGAAGCACAAAGCAGCGTTTCTGTGTAGAAGTGGCAAAGGGGTTAAAAGGAAGGCTGTCTTTCACTTGCTAATCTCAGGTCTTTGTCCAAGAACTGCTCCGGATTTTTTTTTTTTAGCTAGAATAAATTAAATCACTGGCAGAGGACCACCTGCTGAGAAAGCAGGCTTTGTGCTCCCGAGTGCATTCCCACGTGGGTGCAGTTTCCTCTGTTGTCACACGATGGGGCCATCCTGCAAGGGTACAAAGCACCGTCTGAAATCACTTTTGGAGCCCTTCCTCCCAGGCTGGGTTAGTTTACGGGCTCTGAGCATCGGGAAGGTAAAGGGTGTGGAAGAAACACCGTCTCGGGTAAAGGCCAGGAATCACAATTTGCTTTGTGCATGTGAATCTCCAGGCCTTACAGGCTTCTGTAACACATATTCTTAGCCAGGTTTCCAATTGTTGATGTAGCACACCTTTTCTTGCTGCAGCATGGACAGAAATTCCTCCTGTAGGCAGAACTCGGAGGCTGGGATCTCAGGGTCCTGCTGGCTGTGCCTCTGGCTCAGCCTGTGACTGTGTGCAGTGTTTTTCCTGGTGCATGGGCAGTGCCCAAGTCTGCTGTGCCAAAACTGGCTCAAATAACAAGAAACAGGAAAGGCAGGAACAGTCACAACCAACAAAAATCATGCTCGGTTTATTTACCCCTTATTTTTGTGTAGCTGCTGTGAAAATCGCCTGATTTTTCTCCTTGCCTGGTGGTGGGGCTTAATGCTTGATTTACCTTGAAATTGTGGATAGAAATGTCAAAAAAGATGATGGTTTAAGATGTTAGAAATTGTTTTACTTATTCAAAAATTGTTTTTCCTGATCATATCTTTTTGGAAGAGACTATGTACTGAGTACTTTCCTTTAAGCTTGAAATGAATCAGTAGCTTCCTATTTGTTTACTTGATGCAGTTACGGAGCTTCTGGATAACAGAAGGCTCCTTCCAAAGCCACCTTTGTGGGTTAAAGCATAATAATATGAATAAAGGAGTGCTTTGAGAGATTTCTACACCATTATTACTGAACCATTAAATGTCTCCAGTGACACAGTTTGCTGATGATACTGAACTGAGTGGGGAAGTGAACACTTGGGACAGGAGAGCCAAGCTGCAAGAAGACCTGGATTGGCTGGAAGGGTGGGCTAACAAAACCTTGTGAAGTTCAACAAAGAAAAACATAGGGTCTTTCACCTGGGAAAACATAATCCAAGAGTCCAGCACAGGCTGGAATCTGCTCTTGTGGAGAGCAGCAGAGGGAAGAAGTCAGCAATCCCATCAACAAGGGCATCACCAGCAGAGGAAAGAAGTGGTTATCCCACTCTATTCAGTGCTTGTTGGGCCACATCAGGAATAATGTGATCAATTTCATTCCCCACTATGCAAAAGAGATGGAGACAGGCTGAAGAAGATCCAGGGAAGGGCTACAATAATGATCAAAGGACAGGGAAGCTTTCCATGGGAGGAAAGGCTGAGACAACTGGGTTTGTTTAGCCTTGAGAAAATAAGGTTTAGAGGGAGACCTTATCACTGTGTTCCTGTATTTAAAGGGTTTCTACAAAGGAGATGAAAACTCCCTTTTTGCAAGGAATCACATGGAGAACACAAAGGGTAATGGTAAAACTGGGGACATTCCAATTGGACGCAAGAGGAAAATTTTTCAGAGACAACAATTGGCCATTGGAGTAATCTCCCTGGGGAAATGGTGGATTCCTCAACTTAGAACAATTTTTTTTTCAGCTAGATGAATGCTTGATTTTTTTTCAATGAGAAACATGCAAAAGTGCCATTGTAGGCAGTACTGACATTTGCTGCTGAATGATCAGTGATGTATTCTGCTAGCAGTCAAAATTTCCAGAAAGGAAGGCTCCTCCTATTGTACCTACCCAGTAATATTTATGTTACAGACAAGGGGAAGTGAAACCTGACTTGCTATGGAGCAGTACTGATTTGTATCCGTATATCTTTTTTTAAAAATATGGAAGTTTTTTTGTTTTTTAAATTGACTTTAAAATCTGGAAAAATTGGGAAAGAAAGTGTGTCCCTGTGACCTTTTCAGAAGTTTTAGTCTAGGAGAGCCCTCCAGCAAACCCGTTGGCAGTTCTTCAAGAGAATTTGGGAAGAATAAATAAATGCCCTCCAAGTGTCTGAGCTGTGTTGCCATCCCTTTACTTCTAAAGAAGGATACTCACATTTTGTACCTATATCTGAAGATGATAGCAAACAAAAATGACCAAAACAGTTTTGTCTTTTGTAGGAATCTTCTAATGCAAGAGTAGAGTGGCAAGAGGTACAGGCCTGCCATAGCTTTCAAGTGGTGACTGCTTGGTCCTTTCTAGGCGTAGACTTGTTTATTTCAGGACAGCTTGGTTCTGACATGTGCTTCTGTGGCCTCTCTTTTAAGACTGATGGAGAACAGTTCCTGCCCCAAAACAGTTGTCATTATTTAAATTTTGTAGAAGTTGGATTCAGAATTGCTTCTTGGAAAAAGTTCCATAGATGCTCTGCTCTGAATTAAATGTCTTCTTGTGGAGGCTGCCCTCTTTGCAGCTGGGAGGTCACTCTAATGCCTTTTCAAATTCTTCCCTAAAATCAGAGGACAGGGTGTTTTTGCTGATAGCTGGCAGAGAGGATTTGGAAAGGAAACAAAGAATAAAAGGAGAGGAAAACTGGGGACAGGTCCCCTGTTAATTCATCCATTCAAGTTTTCTCTTAGGTTCAGGTGTCCCTGCTTTTGTTTTTACAGCCTCTGCTTGAGGGACTGGTTCTCCAGGCTTTCACAGAGCTGTGCTGGGGCTGCTCAGGAATGTGCACAAAGCTGACACATTGCTGTCCTAAGCATGACAACCATGGGCTGCTTCTGCTGTAGGAGGGGAGAGAAGGAAAAGATCAAGAATGGAGGTCTAGGATGCATCCAGTCCATTATCAAGACTCAGCTGAGATGACTTGATTAGGAATCAGCAGCTTACAAGGCAGAAAAAGGTTTCTGGTAGCTGAAAGCAGACCAGCTTTGAAAACCAGGCTGTTCCTGATTTTCAGTACATCTTAAACATCTATTGCTTTATTTGGTCTGCTCCAAGCACCTAGAAATCTTTCTGGGCAGCAGGCCACCACGTGTGCAGTAGTGTGAACTGTGAGTGGGCACTCGCTGTCCCAACACACTGCCAGGTGTGAGAGACAGTGGGTGGGAGAAGAAACAACATTGTAGGAAGAAGTGATTGATTTGTGTTTAGTTTTTATGCCAGTTTTAGAGCAACATGTGGGAGTTCCCTCCAGTAACCCCAGCGAAGAGTATTCTTGGGTTTGGGGATTGTTAATATTCCAGGAAAAGAAAGGAAGAGTAAAGGACTGTGTTACCCAAAAAAAAAAAAAAAAAAATTAAAATAAAAAAATCATGTTGGGGCATAAGAGACAAATCCATAAAAGACAATTTGATCAATAGTGCCATCGGTAAATTATGTGGTCTTTGCAAACAAAGCCTCAGCTTTATCAGAGAGTGTATTAACTCATGGAGGGAAGGCTGATTTATCACTCTTCATCCAGTAATTGTCAGCCCATAATCCCCTGAAGGGAAAGTAGCCATCCGTGGTTATCACTTGAGGAGGGACGCCAGAACAAACAGACGCTGATCTTAGCCTGGCAAAAAACCACTGCCCCTTGAGCACAGCTGGTCTGCCCAAATGCAAGTGGCTGCTGCTTGTTCCTGCTCCTGAGGCTCAGGAGTGCACCTGATTTTGGGCACCCATGGCTGGAGTAAAGTTTGGTGCTTTTTGATGGCTTTGGTGTGGCACCTGCTGTAGGTCACCTGTGTGCTTTGCTTGCTGAGCCTTGCCTTCTTTGGCCTTTGACACAAACAGGAGTCTTCCCCATAAGAGATTTGTGAAGTTTGCAGAATTTTTAATGCTCTGTGGGTATCTAAGGGAGCTGAGATTTTTTTTTTTTTTCACTGCTACAGAGATGAGTGATACAGCATTATTTAGCTGATCCACAGTATCCCCAGTGATGACCAGAAAATATGTTGATTGACTGCATAATTTCTGCCCCTTTTGTCTTCTCACAAGATGTAAGTGAATCTTTGTTTTAGTGTGCATTTTACTCCCTTTTCTAGGCTTTGTTGAGATTATTCACTGTTTTCAGGAGACAGCTATGCAAATGTCAGCTGCTAGTACCTGATTCCTTTGGACTGAAATTTAAAATATGCTCATGAAAGTTTTCATAACCTAAGCCCATAATACTGAGAGCCTGGAGTATGTGCCTCCTGGTACTGCATGCAAAGGAAGTGTGACTAAGAAACCTGTTATTAGCAGCTTGTATTTTGTTTGAGCAGTGACATCTAAGGGGCTTTCTAAGCAACTTATTTTCCCTTGCTGTAAAGGAAGATTTCTTACTGCAGCAAAAGGCAAATCTGTTCTTCAGATGTCAGCCTGTGCTGTATTGTCTGGATGAGGATAAACCTATGGAGTAGAAATAGTTTTGTTTCTGAGCCATGGAAACTTCACCAGCTGTAAGCCTCCTTTGACCCACATGCCCTCTCCCTGCAATAGCAGCACCACTCTGATCCTGTTTTTGGAGGAGATTGTGTAGCTGTGTTGTCTTAATGCAGGCAGTATCTGGAAGATGGGCTCACCTCTGCATCCAGGTTGGGATGATAAGGAGACTTGTGGTACATGCATCTTTTTCGCTGCCACACTCTAGCAGTGGTAATGTTTAGAGTGAGCTTCTGCACATGATTCCTAGGGACTTGAGAGGGCAGAAATTTGCCCTTAGAGCTCCCAGCACTTTTCATCTTCAAAGGGCATTATAATCATTAATACATTAATTAGGCATTCTCCCCTTCCATCCTGCTAACTAGGTTTATTAAGCTGAATGTATTTATCTTTGGGCAGCTTCTACCAGCAATTGAATGAATAATTTTCCTAATAACTCTAAGAGCAAAGACATAAAAAGAACAGGGAGATGAGAACAGGAGACCAAGGCAAATTAAGCTGTGCTGTGAAAGGAGAAGAACAATTTGATTCTAGGTGTAACTCCACCTCCCCTGCAATTCCCAGCTGACAGCTGTGCAGGCTTTCTTGCTACTGTCTTCCCTAACCTACATGGAATTGCACATCTATGTAACATTTATGCTAGCACCTGCAAATGCAAAAAAAGAAAAAGGAGGTCATGGATGACTGGGATCTGCAGAAAAGGAGAACATGAAAATAGCTTGCAATTGCAAGGTGAAGAAAGCCTATGTGAATGCTTGTATCTTAGGTGTTTTTATGGGAACTGGTATAATCTAGCGGTGTTTCACAGCAGGTGAGCTGCAGGGGTGGAGGAAGGTCATGAAAGACTGTGTCAGGGAGTTTAGGGTGTTGAAAGCTGTCACCTAAAGCAAATGAAATCTTTCTCCATCTTTGTTCTTCAGGCATTGTTGCTCATGCCCTTAAAGCACACACAAATGGGTGATGTGTGGTTGCTATCATACACATGCAGTTTGCTCATACTCTCACAGTAAATGTTGGTGGAAGGATGTAAAAGGTTTTCTCTGCAAAAGTACATGCTCCTGAAAAAGTTCAGAGACTCGGTGACTTAGTGGCTGGGATGCTGCACTGTAGATTTAGTGATTTTTTTGCAGTGCTCTGCCATTTGCCAAGTGATTTCACCTCTGTCTTCTTCCTGTCTTGTTTATTTAGATTCACAAGCTTAAGACCAGGAGGGACTACTAGATCATCTTGCCAGACCTCTTGTGTATCACATCACAGTCGATTGAGCTTGATGTAGTTACTGCTGTAGTGAACCCAATAACCTGTGGGTGGTTGCAGCATATCTTCCATGAAGCCAAATTTTTGACATTAAGCTCTTCAGGGCAGGAGTTGTGTTTTATCCGTGCTTTAATTAGAGATTCTCAGCAGTGCTATTAAACCAGGATCAACACCAAGAAAAATAACACCAAGGGTAATACCAATAATGTTAATTATAATAAGATCTATTAATATTTTATTGGTTAAGCTTGTTAGGTTG